CCTTACAAGCCCTTCAAAGAAAAACCAAGAAGGGCACCCTTGCTATTCCTGGGCTACTCCCGGGTCCTAAACCCTAAACCCTAAACCCATGAATGGATACCCTTGTTAGTCCTAGGCTACTCCCGGGTCCAGGCTTTACTGAGCTCGGCGGCTGAACTGCAGCTCACGACGCTGCCCTTCGTGGAGACCTCGGCCGATCAGGTGCAGGAGCCCAGGGTGGGCGCGCTTTTGCCTCCCGAAGTCAGGGTCATGCAGGACCCGGAAGAATTACTAGTATGATTCCTTATGGTATCTTTATAAATATACTATAATAAGAACACGCAAAACTCTATTTTAGTTATGAAGGGCGTTTATTAGGTCGTCAGCGCAGTCTTGGCGAGGTTGATTTTCGCTAGTTGCACCCTTCAGCGCATAAATTCAAGAACTCCCCCGAACTAACCCTGAACCCTAAACCCTAAACCCTACACCCTAAACCCTAACCCCTCAACCCTTGGAGATGATGCATGAGTCCGCAACATAGCAGCGCGCCTGGGATGCTTGGAGGTTCATGCGACTTAATAACCACTTATAACTGGCCTTATAACCCTACTTATTATAATAGGGATAACCCCTATAAGGCCCTTTAGGGGTATTATAAGTGGGGTTATAGTACAGTTATAATTTTTAGTAAGTACCATGAACCTCCAAGTACAGGAGCTCGTGGCGGCAGCTGGGTCAAACCGGTTGACGGATGTTGAAGCGGGGCGTTTGTATGAGTATCCTTTCATGTTTGTGAACTTTGAAAGAACATACTCTGTACTTTCCCTGAATCCCCTAAACCCTAAACCTTAAACCCTAAACCCTAAACCCTAAACCCTAAACCCTCCGACCAAGGAACGGTTGCTGCAAAGACCCCAGGACCCAAACTTGCTGGATCCGGAGTCCGAGTACACCGCCCTGCACGCTGCGGCGGCGTACGGGCACCAGGCCTAGGACCCAGAGTAGGCCCCTATTCCCTTCGTTTAGGGTTGAGGTTCCCTTATACTCCCCGAAACCCTAAACCCTAAACCCTAAACCCTAAACCCTAAACCCTAAACCCTAAACCCTAAACCCTAAACCCTAAACCCTAAACCCTAAACCCTAAACCCTAAACCCTAAACCCTAAACCCTAAACCCTAAACTCCTGGGTCTCGAGGCCGCTGCAGAGCTGCTGCTGGAGGCCGGCGCGGACAAGGACAAGGCAAGCATCGACGAGGAGTGCGCGACCCCTTTGATGGGAGCAGCCGAAGCTCGGTAGGTTTTTGGGGAGGGTTTAGGGTTTAGGGTTTAAGGGTTAAGGGTTTAGGGTTTAGGGTTTAGGGTTGGGTTTAAAGGGGATACCATTCAGGGATATATCTTTTCCCTTATTGGGTTTTAAGAGGATCCTATTCAGGGAGATATCTTTTCCCTTATTGGGTTTAAGAGGAGCATATTCAGGAATATATATAAATATAAATATATATGTTTTTCCTGCATTGTTTTGTACGAGGATCATATTCAGGACCCTAAACCCTAAACCCTAAACCCTAAACCCTAAACCTTAAACCCTAAACCCTAAACCCTAAACCCTTCAGAGGCTTCTAAGGGGGCCATCTTAGGAAGGCGGACATGTGGAAGTGGTGCGTCTGCTGCTGGCGGCTCATGCCGACACCAACAGGGCGACTGCGGACGACGGAACAACCCCGCTCTTCATGGCAAGCCAGAACCTTGGCTTTCTTCTGGGTCTTAGGGTCTTAGGGTTTAGGGTTTAGGGTTTAGGGTTTTAGGGCTTGGCTTTCTTCTGGCTGGCTCTTAGGACTTTAACTGTAGAAGCTACAATAAGGAGCCTGACGGTTAAACTTGTAGGAGGGGTTCAGAAGTCAGCCAGGAACGGACACGCAGAAGTGGTGCGCCTCTTGCTGGAGGCCGGTGCGGACAAGGACAACACCAGCATTGAGGGCGTGACGCCTGTGCTGATGGCCGCCCAGGAAGGCCACTTTGATGTGATTTGCTTGCTACTGAAGGCTCGCGCGAACCCGAACAAAGCCAGGAGGGACGACGGAGCGATCCCTTTGTTCATGGCAGCTCAAAACGGGCACGCGGAAGTGGTCCGTGTGTTGTTGGAGGCGGGTGCAGACAAGGACAAGCCCGCGCTGCATGAAGGCATGACTCCTTTAATGACAGCGGTCATCGCCGGACATGCGGAAGTGGTCAGCACCATGTTGAAGGCCGGCGCGGACAAGGAACGAGCTCGCACGAAAGACGGCGCGACACCCCTCCTCATGGCAGCTCAGTCGGGGTGGGTTGCTGTGACGCGCTTGCTTTTAGATGCTGGCGCCGACACGGACAAAGCAAGCACGGCTTACGGGTCCACCCCTCTTTTCATCGCAGCCCAGTGTGGACATGTAGAAGTCGTGCGTCTGTTGCTCCAGGCCGGCGCAGACAAGGATCAAGCCACCGGCGAAGGTGCCACGCCTCTGGTGGCGGCATCTGAAGGTGCACACGAAGAAGTGGTCCGTGCGCTGCTGCAGGCCAGCGCGGACAAGGACAAGGCGTGCACCAAGGGCGCTACGGCCTTGATGATGGCAGCTCAAAGTGGCTGCGCCGCTGTGACGCGTCTGCTGCTGGAGGCTGGTTGTGACAAAGACAAGGCAATGGACGACGGAGCCACTGCCCTCTTCATTGCGTCTCAAGATGGGCATGCAGAAGTGGTGCGCCTGCTGCTGGAGGCTGGGGCGGAGAAAGACAAAGCCAACATCGACGGCGTGACTCCTGTGCTCATGGCAGCCCAAGAAGGTCATGTGGAAGTCACCCGTCTCTTGTTGGACGCTGGTGCAGACCCGGACAAAGCCAGCATACACGATGGCGCGACCCCTCTACTCATGGCAGCCCAGAATGGACATGTAGAAGTGGCACGTTTGTTGTGGCAGGCTGGAGCAGCCAAGGCCAAGAAGGCCAGGACAACTGCATAAAAGGCCCTAAGCCCTACGCCCTAAGCCCTAAGCCCTAAGCCCTAAGCTCTAAGCCCTAAGCCCTAAGCCTTAAGCCCTAAGCCCTGAGCCCTAAGCCCTAGATAAGCCCTAAACCCTAGATCCTAAACCCTAAACCCTAAACCCTAAAGCCTAAACCCCAAACCCTAAACCCTAAACACGACACCCTAAATCCCCAAACAAAACCGCCCTGAGATGCCCGGTTCTTGGGCACCTACTGCGCGACCGCTGCAGCAAAGCGCTGTAGGGCCCAGGATTCTTGTGTTTTATTGGTGTTCGGGCTCATCAAGCCCTTGAAACTTAGCCTAAACCCTAAACCCCTAAACCCCTAAACCCCTAAACCCCTAAACCCCTAAACCTCCAAAAACCCCTAAACCCCTAAAACCCTGAACCCCTGAACCCCTGAACCCCTGAACCCCTGAACCCCTGAACCCCTGAACCCCTAAACCCCTAAACCCCAAACCCTAAACCCTTCAGGGAACCCGAAGCCCGAAAGCCCGACATTCTTATCCAGATGCCCAAAGCCGACTCGCCCAAACCCACGGGAGGCCTTGCAAGAGGGAGCCCTTTGAACGCCAGGTTTAGGGTTTAGGGTTTAGGGTTAGGGTTTAGGGTTTAGGGTTTGGGGGGGCCCAAACCTTAGAGCCGAAGGATCAGAAAGGCTTTAGGGTATAGTGCAGGCCTGTTTTTTCGGGCTTAGGGTTTGAGGCTTTAGGATTTAGGGTGTAGGGTTTAGGGCCGGTTTAGGGTTTAGGGTTTAGGGTTTGGGGTGGGATGTTAGACTTCTTGTCCTACATTCCCAGACAGAACCTGCGCCTCTGCCCTAAAACCCTCAGCCCTAGACATTTTGAACCTTAAACGTGGTAGCCCAGTCGTAGCCTTTTGCCCTATGTTTTCGAGGTTCCCAAATAAATATCGAGCCGCCAAAAGGATTTCTTTCACAAAATATGGTGACTGGGCCACCAAGCTCAAGCAAGCCCTCGTCAGGCTTTCGCCGGTAGCGGACAGCTCGACGCCTTCTGGTGAACTGACAAAAAGCTTAGGGTTTTGGGTGTAGGGTGGGATAGTCCTTAGTAGGGTTGCTAATACGGGTATGACAATCCCTATGAAGGACTGTTAGGGAAACCTCCGAAGACGCAGGGTTCAAGGGCTTAGGGTCTAGGCCCTTAGCATGCTTTTTAGGGGTTTTGGGGCTTCGGGTTTAGGTTTCTGAGATTCAGGGGTCATCGAATAAGGGGGCAGTTGCCCTAAACCCTGAACCCTGAACCCTAAGCCCTAAACCCTAAGCCTTAAGCCCTAAACCCTAAGCCTTAAGCCCTAAGCCTAAGCCTAAGCCCTAAGCCCTGAACCCTAAACCCTAAACCTAAACCTCAGCATTTATTTCCCACCCTTCTTAAGGCGAGGCTTTTGGCTCAGGGCTCTAGGGTTTGGGATGTAAGAGGGTGGAGGGTGTTGAATCCCCTAACGTCTTGGAGGTTGCCTTGGGACTCGGTCTTTAGGGCTTGGGGTTTAGGATTTAGGCTTATGGCTTTGGGGTTTAGGGTTTTGAGTTTGAGATTCAATTTGGGCTTCGGGGTGGGCAGGCCAAGGGTTTGGGATTTGGGGCGTGGGGTTTAGGGTTTACATTTTCGGGTCTGGGCTTTAGGGCTTTAGGGTTTGGGGTTTCGGGTTTAGGGTTTCGGGTTTCGGTTCCGGCCTCTATCTCCCATGTGGCCCGCGTCGGCAGTGCGGATCTGGAGGTGTAGCTCAGGTCTTTGGCCGGTAGGATTTGGGTTCTAGGGTTTAAAGTTTAGGGTTTAGGGTTTAGGGTTCAGGGTTTGCGGTTTAGGGTTTAGGGTTTAGGGTTGAAGGTTGAAGGTGTTCTCGGCGCTCAAAGACGGCGGCCTGCATCTATTTCGGAGCATCGTCTGGCTCAAGCAGCTGCAAGAAAGGTGTGTGATTGCGCAAGCAAGTTGCACATTGCGTCGTAGGGTTTAGGGTCGTGGTCCTTGCTGCCGGTAGGAATCAGGAAGGATGTCGAGATTTTCCGGAATCCTGGGTGCGAGCAACCAGTATGGCCGGTGGGTTCCTGACCAGGAGCTTCTTCTGGCTTGGGCTTGAGGGACCCTAGGCCCCTAAACCCGAAACACTAAAGCCCAAACTCTAAACCCTAAACCCAAACCCCTAGACCCTAACCCCTAAACCCTGAACCATGAAAGCACACTGCCCCCGGCAGGAGATAACCGTCAAGGCGATTGCAGGCAGAGTTTGCATATGTTTGCATTTTGTATCGCTATTCTTGTTATTAACCATGACTGTTATCATCATCATTATCATCATAATATTTATTGTCATTCGTATTCGTATTGCTATTAGTATTTTTATTGTCATAATTGTTACTATTGTTAATATTGTTATTTTGTAATTCTTGTTATTATTGTTATCATTGTTATTGTTGTTATTATTATTGTCATTATTGTTATTACTGCCATGATTGTTATTATTGTTATTGTTGTTATTATGGCTGATGCGGCTTGGGTTTTAGGATCTATACTAACAGTATTGCGGATTATAGTCGGGGGGACCATAATCACTATCAAGGACTGTTAGTATATAGGGGAACATCCCCATCTACAGGGGGTTTAGGGTTTAGGGTTTAGGGTTTAGGGTTTAGGGTTTAGGGGTTAGGGTCTCTCCGTGGCTCACCATTAATTAGTCCCTCACGGGAAGTGGACAAGTAAGCTTGCTTTGAATCCGTTGGGCCGGGGCGTAACCAGACCCTGAGCACTAAAATTAAACAAGTTTGCTCTTAACCCTAAACCCTAAACACGAAATTCGAAACTCGAAACCCTAAACCCTAAACCGAAACCCTCAGCCATAATTCCTTACCTGGGCTCTATAAACTCCAAAATGTCCTCCCACCATGTGTCCCTGGCTCGGACGCTAGAATAAACCCTAAACCCTGAACCCTAAACCCTAAACCCTAAACCCTAGACTCCAAACCCTAAACCCTGAACCCTGAACCCTAAACCCTAAACCCTAAACCCTAAACCCTAAACCCTAAACCCTAAACCCGCAAGAGGTTCGATGACCTCGCTCGGAGGGGAACCAGCCAGTTCATCTGGCATGCGTCCACGAAGGTGGAGGCCAAGACATACAACGAGGGCGAAGGCCTCCCCACTGCGCGTGCGCGGCTGTTGTTGTACTACCGGAAGTGGTTGCACCCTGGTTTGCCACGCGCGCACGGCGCGGGGTGGCTGCATACTGCCACACCTTGCACTTCAGTTCAACGGAGGAGGAGGGCTTCGTCAACTCGCTGTTTGATGCTAGTGGAACCGAATGGTTCCATCTCACCGCCCCAAAACATGGCCGAGCAAGAGCCGTCGCGTTCACTGCTCAACTCGAGGGCATCACCCTAAGCCCTAAACCCTAAACCCTAAACCCTAAACCCTAAACCCTAAACCCTAAACCAAGTGGGATAGCCATCTCGACTTGGGCCACGGAGAAGTGACCTGTCTGGTCGAGGAACAATTGGCCAAAGAGGCTTGAACTTTCAGGGTTTAGGGTTTAGGGTTTGACCTGTGGAACCCTAAGCCCATTGACCCCTAAACCCTAAACACTCATTGCCTGAACACCCTAGTCGAATATAGGGGTCGAGATACTTACTCAGACTGTTCCCTATATATAGTTATGCTATATAGGTCCCCCCACCCAATAAAACCCCTAAACCCTAAACCCTAAACCCCAAACCCCAAACCCCAAACCCTAAACCCTAAACCCTAAACCCTAAACCCTAAACCCTATATAGTACAAGCCTCAAGCCCTCTTCTCGGCTCAGAAACCCTTGCTCCCACTCTGCGGCAAGGCGGCTCCACCGTGGACTTCTCCCAGGCTCGCGCTCTTGTCTGCTTAGGGTTTAGGTTTAGGGTTTAGGGTTTAGGGTGAGCACGATATGGATCGGAAAACTTACTAAACGCATCCCTTTATGACCCCTACGTTGCTATACTATACCAAAACACTGTTCTTGCTATGAAGGCCCCTATGGTATAGGCGCTTGGGGGTTTGGGAGGAGTAGGGGTTGAGGGCTTTGGGGGTTTTAGAGGTTCTAGGGCGTGAGAAGTTTAGGGGTTTCGGGTTTTGCGTGTGGGGCTTACGGTTTCGGGTTCAGGATTGAGGGAAAACCTCTTTCTTCCTTCACCTAGGACTCTAATGCTCCATTTCACCAAAGCCAGTGAAGCATTTTCAAGCGCTCTGGAAGGCACCTACACTAACCCTAAACCCTAAATCCTCAACCCGAAGCCCTCAGAACTTTAAGAAAAGAACCCGAACCGGAGTCTTTTTGGAGGCTTGAAATCTATGCCTTCAGGCCAAAACCCACAATGTCGTTTGAGGGTTCAGGCTTTGGGGTTGAGGGTTCAGACTTTGGGATTTAGGGTTTTGGTTGTGGACAGGACACCTAGAGAAGAGTTCCTTCATGGCTATTCGGATTGCGTCTGTCTTCCTACACCCCCCAGAAGCCCGAGACCCCAATCCCTATTTCCCAAACCCTGCAGCCCCTGAAGCCCAAACCAGAAACCCGAAACCCTAAACCCTAAACCCTGGACCCTAAACCCTGAACCCTGAACCCTGGACCCTGAACCCTGAACCCTGAACCCTGAACCCAACCCCTCCCCCCCACCGAAGCGAAGCCAGGCGTTGTTCACGCATTCCTCGTACACGATCTACACCAAGGTTTCCGGGGCCACGGGAAAACCTGCGTAGGCCCTTCGGACATGTCAATATTTTCCCTTACCTTTGACAGGGCTATATTTCAGAACATTTTGTTTCGGAGGTTTTAAAGGGCCAACTTGAAACCTTCTGCCCTAAACTTCCAGGATTTCAAGTTTTTGAGGGTTTTTTTTTTGAGGCTACGGGGGCTCAGGGCCTTTAGGGCTGTGGGGCTTTCAACGTTTCGGCATGTTTCAGTCACCGCCTCCACCCCTTGACGCCTGAAATCCCCTGTGACCTCCACGCTTGGAGGGTTCATGGTACTTATTAACCAATTAGAACTGTACTTATGGCTGTACTTATACTAGAGCCGGGAGTAGGCACTTTTTTCCTTTTTTTAGGGTTGGGGTTCCCTTACAATCCCCTTAAAACCAAAGAGGGTACCCTTTTTATTCCTAGGCTACTCCCGGGTCTAGTAGAGCCATATTAGGGCACTTAAGGGGCTTAGAAGTGGGTTATAAGTACAGTTATAACTGGCTAATAAGTACCATGAACCTCCAAGTAGCCCGAAATCCTAAACCCTAAGCCCTGAACCCTAAACCCTAAACCCTAAACCTCCAAGTAAGCCTTGGAAGCCCTATCTATGAGGAAGGCCTCGCAAGACGCCCAAAAGCCCCAAACGCAGGGACTGGTGAAAGATGCACCTTCCGTGAACTGCCGGTTCAGCAGCACACTGTCTGGGCATCTTTGGGTCCGGGGTTTAGGGTTTAGGGGTTTAGGGTTTAGGGGTTTAGGGTTTAGGGTTTAGGGTTTAGGGTTTAGGGTTAGGGAAATCTCCAAAGGGTCAAACCCGGCAACATGATATGGCATTTACATAATAGCAGCCCCTAAAAAACCCCAAAGCCGTGAAGGCCTAAAGCTCAACAGCCCTAAGCCACAACACCACAAGAGCCCTGAAGCCCTGAGATCCTAAAGCCATCCCTCACAACCCGAACAACCCCAACAATCCCAGCAACCCTAACGGCCTAACATCCCTAACAATCCTCAAACCCTTATCTTAAAACCCTAACCACTCAAACAACCCTAGACACCTCAAACCCTCTAAAGCGTCGAGCCCGTACACGCCAGAACCTTATAACAACCCCAACAGCCCTCGAAACCTCAAACCCTCAACCCCACACCCTCACACCCCAAACCCTAAACTCCTGAACCCTAAACCCTAAACTGTAAGCCTTCACACTCGATGTCGTACACCCACGGGGCTGCCGACCCGCACCCCCCAAACCCTAAACTCCGGAACCCAAACCCTAAACTGTAAGCCCTCACGCTCTACAGCATACACCCGCGGGGCTGCCAAGCGGATGTAGGGCCCTCAAGCCCTCAAATGCTCAAGCTCTGGGGTTTGGGTTTTTGGGTTCTGGGTTTAAGGCTTTGGGGCTTATAAGTTAATGAGCGTTTAGATTTGGGGGTTTGGGGCTTTACCCTCTCCCTAAGCCCTAACCCCTAACCCCTAAACCTTAAAACCCCAAAACCCTAAAACCCGAAACCCTAAAACCCTAGACCCTAGACCCTAGACCCTAAACCCTAAACCCTAAACCCTAAACCCTAAACCCCATCTTCCCAAGTCCCGTGGTGGAGAGGCTTTCTGGGGAGGCGTGACGATCATCGTGCCTCCAGGCAGGAACTCCAGGAAGCCCGAAAGCTCCTGCGAGGCCCTAGGCCCCATATACTTCCAGGAACCCTAACCCTAAACCCTAAACCCTAAACCCTAAACCCTAAACCCTAAACCCTAAACCCTAAACCCTAAACCCTAAACCCTAAACCCTAAACCCTAAACCCTAAACCCTAAACCCTAAACCCTAAACCCTAAACCCTAAACCCTAAACCCTCAACCCTCAACCCTCAACCCTCAACCCTCAACCCTAAACCCTAAACCCCAAACCCTAAACCCTCAACCCTAAACCGTAAACCCTAAACCCTAAACCCTAGACCCTAGACCCTAAACCCAGGAGCCCTAGAACCCGAGGGCTTGAACCCTAAACCTTGTGTGGGCCTTGAAACCATAAACCCTAGGCCCTGAACCCAGGAGCCCCAACACCTTCGGGCGTGGACCCCTAAAGGAAGGGTTGGGGGGGTTTAGGGTTTCGGGTTTAGGGTTTAGGGTTCGGGGTTTAGGGGGGGCGGGGGAGGGAGGCAACTTGGCACTGGCCGCTCACGAATCAGGCAAATTTTGCCCACGAATTAGGCAAACGCCTGCGAGTTTTGCATAACTTGCCGCTCACTCGGGTTATTCAGGTTTGTGTTTTTTACGGAAACAGAGGTTTAGGGCTACCATAAATCGGACCATTACCCGTCATGTTGGGTTTTCGAGCCCCTATCCCCTATCCCTAAACCCTAGACCCTAAGCCCTACACCCTAAACCCTAAACCCTAAGCCCTAAACCCTAAACCCTACGGCCCAAGCCAGCCCTAAACCCGAAGCCCACAGCCTCGTGAAGCCCAAAACCTTAAAGCCCCTAGCCCCAAATCCTAGACCCCAAGACCCCAAGCTCTGAGCCAGCATCTGCGCACAGTTCAGTGCTGTGAGAGTTCTAGGGCCTCACCCTGAGCCCCAAAATCTAACAACAACCCTAAGCCCCAAATACACCCCTAAAACCCCTCCTCCCCCCCATAAGAGGAACCTGATGCAGGTGCTCACCCTAAACCTTAAACCGTAAAAACCCTAAAACCCTAAAGCCCTAAACCCTAAACCCTAAACCCTAAACCCTAAACCCCAAAAAAGGGGGACCTGATGCAGGTGTGGCCGTGGAGCAGGATGGGCAAGCCATCATGGGCGCGTCGGAACGCCCAGCGCGGGTGCGGGAGAGTCAGGCCTTGCCCACAGTGGCGGAGTCGGTTCCTTCAGAATGGCCCCTAACCCCAAACCCCAAACCCCAAACCCCAAACCCTAAACCCTAAACCCTAAACCCTAAACCCTAAACCCTAAACCCTAAGCCCTAAGCCCTAAAACCCCAAACCCTAAGCCCTTAAGGGATTTCGGGTTTCGGGTTCGGGGCTCGCAGGCGTTTCGGCCTTCGGCCTGTCTCCTCTTGACGCAAAGGTTTTTTCCTTGCTGGTGTATAACTCCGCGGCGCCTGGAACCCAAACTCTTAGAACGGGAACCCTTGTGCTCCGCATTCGGGAAAGCAACAGCGGATCTTGGTTGGTAAACCCTAAACCCTAAACCCTCAACCCTAAACCCTGAACCCTCGCTAGGTTTGCTGGCAACGGGGGCCTTTACTCCACTGCAACAGACAGGGTGCAGTCTCAGGCGCACGGGTTTCGGGTTTAGGGTTTAGGGCTAGGGTTTAGGGCATGCGCAGGGTTTAGGGGCTTTAGGCTTCCGGCTTGGGGTTCAGAGTTTAAGCCCGGGGAGGGGCGTCGGTGTGGTTGGGGGTTTTAGGGGTCTAGGGTTGAGGGTTTAGGGTTGAGGGTTTAGGGGTTTAGAGTTTTGAAGGTAGGGTCCAGGGAGGAGGTTGAGGGCACCACAACGCTCGAGATAGCGTGTTGGATGTCCATTACGGTAGTCAAGTCGCTCCAACCTGGTTGATTCAGTGACCTGAAATTAGCGCCGCTAGTCCTTGCAACGACAAGAACTACAGATTGAATTTTCGCCCATGCGAAATTGATTGAGCAGCGCTGCCCACAGAAGTGAATCGGAAGCTCGACCCAGGGGGCCATTATTCCTTCTTTTCCCTCTAAACCAAAAAGGGCACCCTTGTTATTCCTAGGTGACTCTGGGGCCCAGGGTAGAGAGCAACACTTGTGCTTACTGGTACAGCCTTTGTGGTGCGCACAGGCGGCCAATGCTTCCGTGACCATCAAGGCCCCACGGGAGGGGGGGGGGGGAACCCTCAGCCCTAAACCCTAAGCCCTAAACCCTAAACCCTAAACCCTAAATCCTAAATCCTAAACCCTAAGCCCTAAACCCTAAACCCTAAACCCTAAACCCTAAACCCAAAACCCTAAACCCTAAACCCTAAACCCCCAAAAACCCTAAACCCTAAACCCTACAGAGTTGCTCGAGACTGGCCACGAGCCCTTCGGGGGGCTCTGGGGGTTGGAGTTGACGAGCTTTGTTTGGGATGTGGGGGTCTGGGGGTTATATAAGGTTTAGGGGTTAGGGTTTAGGGTTTAGGGTTTAGGGTTTAGCACGTTCTTTTTTTTTTTTTCTTTCTGCCTTTTTTTCACTTTCTTCTACGTTTTTTTTGTTTACGTTCATTTCACCTTTTTGTAATCCCATAAACCCAAATCCTCAATTCGAGATCTGTTTACAACCCTAAGCCCTAAACCCTAAACCCTAAACCCTAAACCCTCAGCCCTAAGCCCCGAAGAAGAGCGTGGCCGCGGAGGTGGAGGGAACCGCGATGTGGGGCAGCGTCACTGCCCGCCTCCCGTTGGGGTTCGGTCGAGGCGTTCTTTCTATGTGAAGGGTTTAGGGTTTAGGGTTTAGGGTTTAGGGTTTAGGGTTTAGGGTTTGGGGTTTGGGGTTTAGGGTTTAGGGTTTAGGGTTTAGGGTTCAGGGTTCAGGGTTTAGGGTTAGACTCGACCTGAATCCCATGCATGGGTGTTTGGGTTTAGGGGCTATAGGGTTGAAACCCCTGAACCCCAGCACAAACCCTAAACCCTAAACCCTGAACCCTGAGCCCGAATCCCTAAACCCTAAACCCTAGACCCTCAACCCTAAACCCTAAACCCTAACCCTAAACTCTAAACCCTGAAGGCTTCAGGAGGCTGAGTTCTGGAGCTGTTGGGATTCGCTTGAGATGTCATGCGGCCACGAGCTCGAAACGACTAGCTCTAGAGTAGGGTTTAGGGTTTGGGTTTTGGGCTTAGGGTTTAGGGTTTAGCCTACACAGTCTGCCTAAGCTACCGAGGTGGCCATCAACGAGCGCGCGAAGCCGGCCGTAGTGCTGTCGCAGGGGGCTCGGAGAGTTCACGGGCTTCAAGCTGCCTAAACCCTAAACCCTAAACCCTCAAACCCTCAAACCCTCAAACCCTCAAACCCTCAAACCCTCAAACCCTCAAACCCTCAAACCCTAAACCCTAAACCCTAAACCCTAAACCCTAAACCCTAAACCCTAAACCCTAAACCCTAAACCCTCAACCCTCAACCCTCAACCCTAAACCCTAAACCCTAAACCCTAAACCCTAAACCCTAAACCCAACCCTCAAACCTCAGCTCTAAACCCCAAACCCCCTGAACCTTTGCAGAGAAGGTTCTAAAGCTTAGGGATGAGTCCCAAGCGCCATTTTTTCGGGTTCGGACCCAGGTGTGGGTTGACTGAGACTTTAGCGTTTGGGTTTAGGGTTTAGGGTTTAGGGCTTAGGGTTTCGGGTTTAGGGTTTAGGGTTTAGGGTTTAGGGTTTAGGGTTTAGGGTTTAGGGTTTAGGTTTTCGGGTTTAGGGTTTACGGTTCAGGGTTTAGGGTTTAGGGTTCAGGGTCGCCGGAAGGTGCTCTTGAACCCTCAACCCTAGCCCCCAATGGGTTAGGGATCTAGAGTGGTAGAGTGGAGGACTTCGGGAGGGATGGGTTGCAAGAGCTAGGGTTTCAGGATTAGGGTTTAGGGTATAGGGTTTAGGGTTTAGGGTTGAGGGAGTTTGCCCTAAACCACAAACATGTTGTTCCTCAGCGTTGGCTCGAAGGCTGTTTCTAGGACCCAGCCCAGGATCTCTCCTCTTATTGGGGTTTTAGGATCCTTTGAAACCCTGTTTAAATCCTAAGTAGGTGTACCCTAAACCCCACAAACCCTATAAAGCCCATAAACCCTATAAACCCTGAAAACCCTCTATAGCCTACAAGCCCTATAAACCCTAAACCCGAGGCCTTGAAACCCTAAGCCCTAAACCCTACAAACCCTATAAACTCCATAGCCACTAAACCTTACTAAGCCTTGAAACAGTACCACCCTAAACCTTAAATCCCTGAACCTTAAATCGCTAAACCCTAGACCCTAAACCAGAAACCCTACCCTAAACCCTAATCCTAAACCCTAAACCCTATAAACCCTATAAACCCTATACACCCTAAACCCTAAACCCTCAACCCTAAACCCTAAACCTTCTGAAGTCGCGGCAACCGGCGGCATGACTTCCCAGCCATGTATGATCCAGACTTCGACTGGGACGAAGCCGAGCGATTGCTGGAGGAGGCGCAGGGGGTTTAGGGTTTAGGGTTTAGGGTTGGACCGGCCCCCATACAACTGTTCAGACCATCTCTTTTCGGGAGACACGCCAAGGTTTCGGGCTTGGAAAAGCCATGCTTTCCACAAGGTTTCGGGCCTCGAAAGCCACGTTGTCCACAAGGTTTCGGGCCTCGAAAGCCACGTTTTCCACAAGGTTTTGGGGCTTCAAAAGCCATGTTTTCCACAAGGTTTTGGGCTTTGAAAAGCCATGCTTTCCAGGTTTTGGGCTTTGCAAAGTTTTCAATGCTATTTCCACAGGGTTTTGGGGCCGTAAACCAATGCTTTCCACATGGTTTTGGGCAACCTTTCCACGTCCTTTCCACATCGTTTCCACATTCTACACACATCCTTTCCACATCGTTTCCCCAACCTTTCCACATCGTTTCCGCGACCTTTCCACATCCTTTCCGCAACCCAAGGAGGCCCTTTGTTGTGGAAAAGGCTGGCTTTTGGACGTGGAAAAGAAAGAGGTTTTTGTGGGAAACATGTGGAAACCAGGGGGCTTTCGGGCATGGAAAAGGAGGCCTGTTGTTGTAAAAAAGGATGGCTTTTGGACGTGGAAAAGGAGGCCTCTGGTTGTCGAACACATGTGGAAAGCCGGGCGTTCTTGGACGTTATTTGTGGAAAAGGTGGGGAACTCAAGCCTTTGTAAAGAGCGAGCAACTTTGGACCTTTCTACATCGTTTCCGCAACCTTTCCACATCTTTTTCCACATCTTTTTCCACATCGTTTCCGCAACCTTTCCACATCCTTCCGCATCGCTTCCACAAGTCTTGCGCAACCTTTCCGCAACTTCTCCGTAACTTTCCCGCAACCTTTCCGCAACCTTCCAGCAACTTTTCCGCAACTTGTCCGCAACATTTCCGCGATTCTTCCGCAACTTTTCCGCAACCTTTCCGCCACTTTTCTTCCGCGACCTTTCCACATCCTTTCCGCAACCCGTTTCCACTCCATTTTCCACAAAGGAGCCTTTTGTTGTTGAAAAGGCTGGCTTTTGGACGTGGAAAAGAAAGAGGTGTTTGTGGAAAGCATGTGAAGAAAACCAGGGGGCTTTTGGACATGGAAACGCTGGCCTGTTGTTGTGGACGTGGAAACGGAGGCCTT